TTTTTTTTTTTTTTTTTTTTGTACATTCAACATGACATTGTTTTGTAGTTCATTAACTATGATGCAAGATATGCATACAAATTATTCCGAAAACAGTACAAAACGACTATCGGCGCTGATTTTATCACCAAGGAATTACTGATCGATGACAAACTGGTCACTTTGCAAGTAAGTTATAAAGCCAGAAATTCTATTATGCCTTGCAGTCTACTAGGTACAAAAATTAATATTGTTCGGTACTATCTAATCCACTTCACCGAATTAACGTCCGTTAATATGTTTATAAATTAATACATGAATTGGAACTTGAACAGATTTGGGATACAGCAGGGCAAGAAAGATTCCAAAGCCTAGGAGTTGCATTTTACAGAGGGGCAGATTGCTGCATTCTTGTATATGATGTTAATGTACAAAAATCATTTGAAACACTTCAAAATTGGCATGAAGATTTTCTCAAACAGGTGAATCATGATTTTACATCATGTTCAGAATTATCACCCGATGAATCGATGTCACATCATCCATACGCTTCTTGCAATCACTGAATAGTACCATAGACAAGATCTTAACTTGTATATATTGCACTTCAATTGTGGCCGTTGATGCGAATTCATGATTTTTTAGTCTTAACTTTCTCAGTACAATACCTCCAGGTCCACCCTGCAAACCCAGAGACTTTCCCCTTTGTACTGATTGGAAACAAGGTAGATGTAGACGGTGGAAATAGTCGTGTGGTAAGGGCATATAATTGTATAATTTTAACATAGTCGACAACTCGATTGGTCCTTTTGACATTGTAAAGCATCCCCTTTGTCCAGGTTTCTGAGAAAACAGCTAGAGAATGGTGCATTTCCCAGGGAAACATACCTTACTTTGAAACCTCAGCTAAAGAAGATTACAACGTGGCTGCTGCCTTTTTGTGTGCTGCTGAAACTGCAGTTTCCAGTGAGCCAGTGAACATGTAAATTATTTTCTTGTTCTTGATATGCACACTTGTTTGATATGCTCGACTTGACAGTATTATACAGGATTAAGCAAGAAAAGAAGTATAATCTTTTTCGTTATTCTGTATAGTACTGTCAAAGTACTGCGAACTAAACAAGTCCTTGATTCATGCGTAAATTTCCGTTCTCTTTCAATTTTAAATCGACGTCTTTTTTGTCCAGTTGGGAGACAGATGAAGAGACGCCATCCCATTGGTGAGTTTTTCCATTTTCAAGAGAAGATATTGAGTTCTTTTTGTACCATTGAATCTACCTTATCACATTGTGTCTCGACTCGTCTCATTGTACACCATTCTTCATGCAGTGAACTCCAACGAATACCGGAATCCCTTTCTGGAACTGAGAGCAGAGGAGGATGTGCATGCTAATATCAGGCAATCAAACATTTGGAATTTCAATCAATTCTATTTATTTAATTCTTCCTATTTTTCAATTTTTTTTTTAAATTTAGTTTCCAATGCAAAACAGGCAGTATCCATTAATGTTGTCACCCAGTTAGAAAATTTGTTAGTACGTATAAAAAAACATTTGTTAGAAATTGTCCGACTTTCACAACTTGTACACAATTTAAACACTTGCTAAATTAAAGAACATTGTGTACTTCAAATTTGTCAAATCACATGCCTTGGGATGAGCTTTCTGTCCTTCCTAAATATTGATGTTCGAAGAAGCAACAACTTTTCAAGAAAAATCTTTATTTATGTTTACGATATAAATGCAAAATACAATAACGTGTATCTCCTAAAAGAGAAAGGACCGTATTCTCTATACCGCTCACTAGCTACTAAATAGCTAAAACGAGGAGTTTGTCATACCGGTGTGTGATGAGATTCTTCATGTTGGCCCTTGCGAGATACAATACAGATCCGTTTGACATCTTCAGGAAGCAAAAGTAACCAACGAATGACAATACTAATGGTGTAGGGAGGGGGGAGAAAAAGGGAAAGAGCATCGTATAACTCTAGTGAACTCGAGAAATAACGTATCAATGATGGATGCCAGTTAGGTGTCAAACTCACCATCAAGGTTAATCATGAATTGGTGTTAGACTTTGAATGATTACGAAATTTAGTAGAGTTTCTCAAGTAAAATGACTTAAAATCAACTTGAAAGTAATACAAATTTCCAAACAGGTATAGACAATCCAATCACCTGCAATCATCTCTAACCAAAACAACACAACTATATATGAATTTACTTAAGATGCGTGCACTTATCTAACGGATTTTCAGTTACATTCTTACATCTTTATTTATTAAAATTCGAGCTCGACTCAACCTAGATCTCACGGTGAAACAAATCCAAACCGTCCATGATCCGAGCTTTCACGAGTCAGCAAGTGGCCCGAGACTATGGTCACCACAATCCATATAATACTACAAGCCCAAAATAACACCCCTCGTGCTCCCCGTGCCTCCCACCTCTACCACTGACCACTCCTCACCCCACCGCACACATTCAAGAATTTTACTTGCTTCTTCTTGAATTGTCTCTCTCTTTGGAACATCATTTTGGGTGCAAAAGCCAATGGCGTTTTCAAGAATTTCACTCTCTTCCATCTGTTTTACATTTGCTAAACGCTTCGATGTCAGCTCAATCTTCATCTTCGATCTCTTTCAGATTTTCTCCTTCAATTTCCATCCGATCAGCCTCATGACAAGGTAAGCCTTTTAAGCATAAGCACACTGACAAAAATCTAAGCCTTTTGAATTGGATGAACTCACATTGATACAAATCATTCAGATTGTATCCCTGGTATGGTTCGTTGATGTGTACAAATCAACAAGAACAAATTAACGCCCTGTTTGGAAGGTATTCTCATTTTCTACAGTAAATCAATTCTCATTTTCAACCACACATTCTTCAATAAAATAATATTTTTCATCACATCAATAATATTTTTTTTCTTTTTCAACCACACATTTCCGATCATATCACTATTCAAAATCAATTATTCCCCCAAAAAATTCCTACCAAACAAGTTGTAAGTCTTATTCTGAATGCGTGAGTTGCGACTACAACTCACGCTTCGTAATTTGTGGGCACTGTGTAGTTCGAACAGTGTATGTTGAAAACAGAACCAAACGATACTGGTCGGCCAAGTGTTTTATTACTAGGTATGGTTCATTGATGTTTACTTTTCCAGGAAAAAAATGAAAGGTCTGATCCAAAACTGATAGGGTCTGGTCCAGTTCGGTCAGATGTTTTTATACCAAAACAGTTAATAGGTTCTACTCATTGAACGGGATTCTATGGTCGGTCTGTAACCCCTAAATGCCGAAGGCGCCTTGGGATGATCTCGTAGTTCCTGTGTAAATAATTTGCAAACCAGGGGGAAGTCTTCTCCTCTACAGTGCAAAATCATTCTCTGTCGTACATAGGCTTAGATTTGGCTCCAAACATAAGCTTGGAACTGGCTCTATCAAAACAATTTTTCTCACCTCAAGATTTTGCACGATCTGAGCCACTAACCCCAAGAGCAGGTGTTAAAACCTTCGTGGTTTTATCACCATTTCACAGATACTAGCATGTATGAATAATGCTAATCAGTAATTGTCATCAATCTAGATGACAGTGAGCTCCTTGATTCATTCTTCAATAAAATTATTATGTATTTAATGCATTGAACAATAAAATAACGGGCACAGTGTCTAGACTGATGATGATCAACACTAACAATAAATGACGTTACTCAAAACATGCATTCAATGAAGGCATGCCAAACTAGAAACTTCACCGACGAATACCTCCACTTTAAGAGAAGAAAAGTAGCACAAGCTCAACTAAATTTCATGTATCAGATGAAGTGTTCCACCGTGGGTCACGGTCTCAAACTAGAAGTTTTTTACCTTTAAGATAGCTCAGAAGATACTTTAGGGCCATTATGTTGGCACCCTGACTCATAATCGAAGTGTTGGCCAGTGAACAGAAAACAATCAACAATATAAAGTCACATTTCTCATTAAACGGTAAGTTCGTGCAAGTCAAAAGGAAAAAACAACAGATCGCATCCTTAAGAGCAACTCTTCCAAGTCACCGATGAACATATATTTAAGCTTAACTAAACAATACCATGTATATGCATTTGGTTTTCCAGGATAAATGAGATTGGTATGACTCAAAGACCTTTGCAGAATAAAATCCAGTCAAGATTTAAATAACAAGCATTGGTCGAAGCAAACAAGTGATAAAAGAATCATCCCTCGTAGAAAAAAAGAACATCAAATTTAAGGTTTAAGATAGACATAGAATTCCTATTATTTATAGACAACCTAAAACAAAATAGTATAAAGCAGCAGCAATATAAAAGAGAGAGAACCCCATCAACCAGCAGGTAACAATAATAGTGCGATAAGTAGTTTATAAGATATTAATAATGATCGAATTGTATACTCGTCAAAATTGTGCATCTACAGAAATGCTAGTTAAATAAGGACCATCACTACGTAAACCAGCACTGTTATATAAAAAAACTGGACAAGACTGTTAAGAAGGTAATTAAATAGAGGAAATAGTCAACTCTTTCCCTTCATACAAAAACCATAAAAGATCAAAACAAGAAAATAAGACAACCGCATACCCAGATTAATTTGGTTAAGACCTCCTCTTCTTATTTGATTTGGTAGTGTGGTCGTGTTTATTTCTCTTCTTCTCACCCACTTGGGTCTCTTTTTGCTTCCCGTGCTTTTCTATTTTACTTTTAGTTGATTTTACACTAACGATACCACTGGTTGAGATCTTTCCATTTTGCAAAGCTTTCTCAAAATCAGCTTCTTTGTCTGAGATGGCGTACTTTTGAAGGCGCTCTGGATTCAGCATACCGTCTAGCTTGGCTTTCATCTCATCCTAAATAGAGTCTCATGTGAGGACGATCTTTGAAAGAGATAAAATGGGGGGCACAAAAGAATAAACGCGAGAAAGTCTGCTAAACCTGGACTTGTTTAGCTGCATCATCAAGATCTTTCTCCAAAGAGACGTCATGAGGTTTCATCACAATCTAGACACAATAGCCACAGTTAGTTATATAAATTTATATCTTCAATAAATAAGTGGCAGTTACAACAAATAAGTAGTACTCACATTATCTGTTAGATGAGGTTCATTAGAATCAATCTCTTTCGTTGCAATACCATACAAGTATTTGTGGAATTTTCTCATAATTTTCAGGTATAAAGATAATATTTGCTGTCCTTCCAACTTCATCTCTTGCTACAAAACAAAGGGATAAAAAGAACATGACCATCCACATTGAAGACAGTTTCAATATCACGATATTATTACACAAGTTCATGCTGTTGAAACGAAGTGTAAAAATGTAGGAAAAAATAGACAAGAAAATAAAGCAACATACATAGATTTGACGTGGTTCGGTTTATAAGCCTACGTCAACAGTAAGAAAGCAGACAAAAGTTAACTACGTAAAAGTTGAATATTATACAGGGGCTTATCTCGCCTATTACCCAAAACACACATACAACTAACAACATTTCTAACCAAAATTCCGTCGCACCCAACTAGTCCCTTCTTTAAATTGGAAGAAAGAGCATATACAGTCAGACGAACGATTTTACTCTGTAATTTGGTTGGGAATGGATTGCTAGATAGCTACACAAGTGGCTCTTATGTGCCACAAATGCGTCCAAACTTAAGCCACATGACCTTATAAGAAATCTGAAGTTATTGTTCTCGACTTAAACCAAATATAATAACTCCAATCTTTATTCACTTAACAGTTGCATTAACAAATGATAAAATAATGAAGATAAATGAAGTATACCTCTATATAGGGGACGTCTTTATTCTGCAAGCCAATGCACAGCAAAACAGAAGCCTGTGCATATGACAGTGTAACTGGAATCTTCTCCTCGAAATATTGACATGCGAGAGCATTCTTACAAAAATCAATCTGAAGAGTCAACAATTTACAGATTATCATTATAAATCCACAGGCTGTTCAAAAGAAGGGTCAATATTTATAAAAATAAAGGTGGGGAGAACGTCTCAGAATGCTAAGAGAGAATTTAGTTTTAACAAATGAAATGTCTGGAGCAAATTTTCGATTAAATTTATGCTGAATTAATAGTTCTGTGAATACAGAAACCATAGTTTTGAGTGATGGATTAATAGCTGCTGAACATGGATCTTTTTCGGAGACCATGGGATCATGCATTAGATATCCTAAAATTTCAGAAATCACAAGTAGTAGTCTGAGAAACTAAGTAGAGATGCTTATTTTTCAGTTTCCTATAATTTTGACAGCCGTCCTTGTAGAATTAGATATTTAAGCTCCCTATAAATAAGTACAGAGGTAGATGGAATGAGCAGTAGGCATGTTATGCCTCGCAGGTTATTCATATCATAAATATAC